TGTACCACTTTTAGGATATGGCAACATCCAAGTACCACCAGTCACCTAGCAAGGTGTCAAAAACTTGATGACCAAAAAAAAAAAAAAAGGAAAAAAGTGATAAAGTACAGGTAGTCCTTAATTTACAACAGTTCGCTTAGTGACTGTTCAAAGTTACAATGGCATTGAAAAAAGTGCCCCACAAGGCACAGCCGAGCAAGACGCTTGCCTGCCTGCCCACCCGCGTTCTTCCTCCTGTCTGAGGTTTTCATTGTTGTGAGCATTTCTGTTGAGATTGGCAGCGGGGGTGGGGTAGTTGCAGCAGGTTTTGGTCAGTTCACATGACCCTGGGACACTGTGATCATCATAAATATGAATCAGTTGCCAAGCATCTGAATGTAAATCACAAGACCCTGGAGATGCTGCAACATTCCAGCTGATCGGCACTTCTTCTGGGCTCAGCAGAAGTGCCAGGATCAGTGCTGCTTTCCAGCTGACTGGTGCTTCTTCAAGGCTCAGAAGAAGCACCAGGATCAGCACCAAGCTACAACTGGAGCCTGGCGCTAATCCTGGCGCTTCCACTGATCCCTGACAGCCCTGCAGCTCCAGCCATCTCTCGCTCAGGCTTGTGAGGTGCTGCCACCGGTTCAGCTTATTCCCCTCCCCTGCTTCTTTTCTAGGATGGTCGCGTACTACCTGCCAGGTGCCAATGTACCACAGGTGGTACCCGTACCACTGGTTGAAAAGCCCTGCACTAGGACTCCAAGATTCTTCTCACATTTACTATTATTGAGCATGCCCTATACATTTGGAGGGAGGGGTTGCCTAAATGTAGAACCTTATTTTTGTCACCATTAAATTTCATTTTGTTAGATAATGTTCAAGTCTGTCAAGATTCTTCTGTATCTAGAGCAGCAGTTCTCAACCTGTGGGTCGGGACCCCATTTGGGGTCGAACGACCATTTCACGGGGATCACCGAACAACACAGTCTGCCATTTTCCCCCTTTTCCTTAGCTGTGCTACTCCCTTTTATTCTATTGGCTTTTGAAAGCCAATAGAATAGATTCTCTTGAATAGAGTCTAATTCTATTGGCTTTCAAAAGCCAATAGGAATTGTCCAGGCTGTCTCTGCCCTGCTGAGCCCACCAAAAGTCCCATTCTGCAAACCGTGCTGCAAGTTGTCTGCAGCAAAGGCGAGCTGTCTGGAAGTTTCCACCCCTCCCTGCTGAGCAACTACTAAAAATGTAAGTAAAAGAGGGCCAGGGGTGGGAGGTGGGAGGCCAGCAGGCGCAGGGAGGGTTGCTAGCGCATGTGGGGTCCGGCGGGTGCCTTACTTCCCTTGGGCTGGGCCAGCTGGTGGCCCAGCCGGTGGTCGGCCTGCGTCGTCTCTGCCGCTTGCCAGCTATGCTTCGGCCGGCGCAGGGGGCAGCACCACGCATGCACGGCGCTCCCGGACAGGGAAAGTCCTCTACTTACGACCAATTGGGTAGACCTCGACTTACAACCGGTTGGGTAATCCTCGACTTATGACCGGTTGGGGGTTGCGACATTAAAAAGGTTGAGAACCACTGATCTAGAGCCTATATTTTGGAGTGTTGGCTATTTCTGCCAGCTTGGTGTTATCTGCAAATTTGATGATTTCCCCCTTCTATCATCTTGTCTAAATAATTTATTATTTATTTTCAGTTCAGTTCGTTTCATTTATTCAGTTCAGTTCATTTACCTTCCTAATAATGACCCAGGATCCAAAGAGCTATAGTTAATAAAGGATTTAGAAATAATACAGATATTTGATTTTACAAGCCTCCTGAAACTCCCTCAGAATCCCCAGACCATCCTTTGAGAACTACTATTCTGGACAAAGGGGAAGTTACAGGATGAACTTTCTGTTTCACACTATTACACTCCACTATCTATTTCAGGGGTGTCAAACTCAATTTCATTGAGGGCCACATCAGCATTGTGGTTGTCCTCAGGGGCCGGGTAGGTGTGGCTAGGGTAGATGTGGCCTACTGGGTGGGCATGGCTGGAATGGGTGTGGCCTACTGGGTGGGCATGGCCAGCTCTACATTGTTCGCGTCAAGGATGCCTGTGGGGGCCTGGGCAGGAGTCAGACAGATCTGAGGTCTCTAGCAGAAGGGGGTGGGACCGGGGCAAGTGCCAAGGCATGGTTCACTGGAAGAGCCTCACTGTTCCTCTCAGGCCATGCGAGGGGGAGGCTGGATGGTGCCGAGGGCTTCCCAGAGCCCTGGGCAGCAGAGGTCAAACGCCCAGCTTGGCCCTCAAGCACCTGCGGCGCCAAGCCCAGCCCCACTACCCTAAGAGGGTGCCCAGTTGCACTTACCTCCTCCTCAAGGCTGCTGCAGCTGTGTTTGCTCTCCTTAGCCAGGTTGCTCATGATGGATATGAGGACAAAATCAGAGGAAGGCCCATTCCCTCTCCATGGGAGGAGACCTGGCTTTGTATCCAAAGCTTCCTTAGCAATAGGATGGGAGACTGCCAGGATAGGCCAGGAGGAAGGGGCAAGGGGATGGTGAAAGGGCAGCAGGGCAGGACTATGGCAGGACTTCCCTCAGACCCTCCCTCCCTCTCCTTCCTTCCTTCCTTTCCTTCCTAAGAGCAGAGTGGTAGGAAAATAGTTGAGATGAGGGAGGGAGAAAAACAGGCAAAAACACAGCTGGGGAGGTGTCACCCTTCGTGAGGAATGAATAAATGCACCATCGCCTGGAAGTGGCCAGCACATGGCCCTTGCCTACTTCACATATCTGGCTTGGTGGGCTTTGGAAGAGGGGACGTCATGAGCAACATGAGAGTTGACGTTACCTGCACAATGCTGTCCAGCCCCAGCCTGCCTGGTTTCGGCAGGCAGTGGGACACTCTCTTCACAATGCCGGGAGCCTGAGCCAGGCAGTGCGAAGCTCGCCAGCTTTTACCTTGCTGCCTGCTGAAATTGGGCAGGCTGGGGGTTGAGTGGCAATGCACTTCTTTTTGGATTTGTGCCGCCTGGCTCAGCCTCTCAGTGCTGTGAGGACAGCGACCCACTGCCTGCTGAAACCCCTGCCCCGGAGCCCCTCAAACCGGATATGTGAAGTAGGCGAGGACAATTTGCTGGCCACTTCCAGGAGATGATGCATTTCTTCATTCCTCAAAAAGGGTGACACCTCCCCAGCATGCATCCAGGGCGCGGGGCCAATGCGGAAGGGGCCGGTCCCGTGCTGTTTCCAGATGGTCTTGTGGAGCTAATACTGAATGTGTTTCAGCATAGATGGCCACCACAAAATTGTACATTGGCTTCCAGGTGGCATGGGCCGGGGCTAAGGCAATGGGGGCCATTCCTTCACTGTTTCCAGGATGGCTTCGCAGGCCACATGAAACCACATCGTGGGCCACATCCAGCCCCGGGCCTTGTGTTTGAGATCTGGTCTATTTCATTAAAAAAAAAAAGTGAAGTCAGCATTTATGCAAATGTGGTATTTGGCATGGTATTTCAGTCTCTCACTCCCAAACTGAAGCAGTTATCCAACAAATTTTGTCTATTTCAAAAAGCTTTATCAGAGGTCCCTCACAAAGTAAATATTTATTTTAGAAAATTTATATGGCTGCCCAGTTCACATTAAGTGACTCTGTGTGACTTACATAGATAAAATCCTAATATAAGAAACAATAAAAAATAATAACCCACCACTGCCCAGGTGACAACAGTCAATCAAATAAGCCATTTGATAGACTCTATCCTACTCTGGATTCCCTATTTCTGTTGGAAAAATGTCAAGATCTTGTGAAAGAGGGGTACAATCTTATATCCATGGAATGATGATCTGTAGGGAGAAAGCCACCACAGAAAAGGTCCATCTTTTTCATTCTGCTAGATGGACTTCTTAGGAGAAGACCTATAATATTCCTTGCCTCCTTGCCTGTGTGGATTAGGTAGATGTAAATGGAAGAGACGGTTCTTCAAATAAACTGCTTCCAAGCCATGTAGGGCTTTAAAGGTGAAAACCAGCACATGAACTGGTCTCAGAAGCAAATTATCAGCCAATACAATTCCTGCAGGAGATAACACATGTCACATTAAGGCTTGCACAATGTCATGTGGCCCACTGCATTTTGAACCAATTGAAGTTTCTGGATACTTTTCAACGGCAGCCCCTTGTACAATGTATTGTTAATAGTCAAGACAGGAGGTAATTAGGGTGTGAGTGACCGTGAGCAAGGATTGTTGACCCAGGAAAGGCATAACTGGTGCACAATCCACAGTTATGTGAAGACCCTCCTGGCCATGACTGGAGTTATGAATCCAGGAGAATCCCTAGATTATAGATCTGTCTGGGGCAATGACACTCCATCCAAGACCAGAGATGGCAATTTTCCATCTACCAAAAAACTCCAACTCAGAGCATTCTGTCTTGCCAGGGTTCAGTTTCAGCCCCATCCAGCTCTTGGCAGCCTCCAAGCGCTGAGAGAAGGAGATTGTGGCATAGTTTAACTCACCATGGGCTGAGACACATAGTAAGGTGTCATAGCATATTGATGAATTGGTAGCACAAGTATTTAAAGAGTAATTTAGTTTATTGTAAATAATAGGGCTCCACAGCACTTCAGGTACAAAGACAAAAAGATGCTTCAGACAAATGTAGTTCTTGTATAAGAGGTATTAAAACAATGGAGGCCCTTTGTAGTTGTCAACTAATCCTAGGAATTACATTTGGTCCCAGGTGTTACATACTGGGGCTGTTTAAATCATACAACATTCCATAGTTGAATGGCCTGCTTTTGAACAGTGTAACATTTTAAGAACTCCCAATCCACAATTCCTATGTGAAGACCACAACATGTCCCAAAATGGCAAATTATTAAAGGTTTCTATTTAAAAATACTAGTACAAAGCCAGAACAAATCTTGATGGTCAAGCACGAGCTAGCCATTTGTCCTTAGCCCCTAATTATGACCTGGATGGGGATGTTTTCCTGCAGGCTTATGATTTTGGCAGGAAGGGAAACAAAAACGGGAGAATATTCCATTCACTAACACGAACATTGTAAATAAGGACATCACCACTTGGTGGAGTTAAATCTATGGCAGGAATGGGTTGGGCAGTAGGGCTGTCAGCTTCACGCTGGTAGTTTTATCAGCTGCAGGGCCAAGAGTAACATTTTAAAAGAAGGTGAGGTCAGCATATTTGTGCCTGCAGCTGGTTGCAATTCCTCTCCTCTTGTTATCCGTTGTTAATCTTTCCATTAAAGTTTAAAGATTAAACTCTCTATTCTTCAAGATTATAAATATTGTAAAATGTCTTCTCCCTGCTCCACCCCCTTTATTACTGAGTAAGAGTCATTAGGCATATACACGCCAGTACTCTACAAGAACGAATTTAAACCCGGATCTCCTACAGTCTGTACCAACCCGGGCTCGGCCCTCCTCTTTTCATCCAGATCTGCTTTGCAAGCTTAAAGTCCCGTCCTGGGAAGCGCAGCAGACAGAACGAACAAATTTCTGCTTGCCTCGGCGCGAGACAAACCGCGCCAGCTCAGGGAGCCCAGCCAAAGGAGAGAGGCCTGCCCCGCAACTTACTGCCCCATTGGGCGGCTGCGCCACTGACAGCGGCGGCGGCGTCTCACGTAGCTAAGATGGCCGCCCCTCTCGAGCGGGTGGCGGCGGCGGTAGTTGGAATGGGACTGGCGTTACAGAGGGATCGCTGAAGAAGCTGAGAGTTGCCGGTGTCCCTTAGAGGTGTGCGTTGGGCTGCGGCTGGAGACAGACGCACCATGCGGCGGAGCTAGAACCGGAGGCTTTCACCGCGAGTAATGATGTTAGCTGAGGTAAAAATTTGGCTTCAAAAGGGGCGGATTGGAAAAGAGAGGAGGTTGGTGGGGTCCGCAGTGGAGGCGCTTGTGCTTTATTTTCCTCTCTTTCTGGAACTCTTCAGCTTTCTGAAGACTTCTTTCACCCAATCTCTTGGCCTCGGACTGTCTAGGCCCAATCAGAGCGCCGCATCGCTTTTCTGGAGTAGATTGGCCTTGAGTGAGTTTTATCTCGTATTGTGGTTTGAGTGTTCCTTTGGGGCTGCTACTTCGGAAGTCGGTGAGGGATTTTCCCGGACGCTTAGCAGCGGAGGGTTTGCCTTGGCTTTTGAAAAGACATCAGGGTGATTAGGCTTCTAATGCTGAAAAGAACTATTCTACCGTAGGCCTCTATTGGAAGGGTGTTTACTTTCCAGCTTATTTTTACATGAATAACACTAGCCTCTTTTCTCTCCCTTCTTTTCCCGGTTAACCGAGTATTGAGGTTGCTTTGTGTCATCAGCTGAGACGATCCCAGTAGCCGGGCTTAGCTTTCAGTGCTTCATTGCATCCTGTGTCTGCCTCAGTTTCTTTCATATGATGGTGCAGTTTATTTTCCAAAGCAAGGGCAGAGTGAGCTGATGTTTTTACAATCTTTTATTAGAGCAGATGAAAGTAGGAAAATTATTTGGAGGGACATGCCAGTGAAAATGGGATTTTTAAAAGGAGAGGCACAACATTGGCTCTGTGTCTCAGGTATCTCCTACTTTTTCAAGCCACTTTGACTTCATAGTGCTTGTACTGTATGCTCACTTCTTGGCTGAAGCCAGCAATATGTTTTTTTGTAAATATTGCTTACTGTCTTACTATAAGATAAGATTTACAATACAGTGTGACAGCATTGTTTAAAAGGTATCTGTTAAAAAGGTTTTCTGAGAATTCTAATTCTGCTTTTGAGTGGTTTAAGCTATTGTGCTTAATTGATTTTTGGTATTTTTGTATAAATCTGTAGTAGAAACTGAGGCAGACACAGGATGCAATGAAGCACTTTTGCACTACAGTTGTACTCTGTATTGGCATAAATCCAAAGGTAGCATATATATGATGCCTATTAGATAACTATGATGCCTTGGCTTATCCTATCAGTTCATTAGTATGCTTTCTTTAGATATTTTTTCAAATCATACTTGTCATGGTTAACTTAACCATAGTTTACTCAGCCCAGTTTTATGAATTTTCACGACATATTGAACTGGAATTATCTGATCACATAATTTTGTTCATGCAACTTTCTGTATAAAATATGGTTGGTTATTTTGTCATTAGCTGCATTCTAATGAGTTTTCCTCAGATAATTTACTTAAAATGTTTTGTAACCTGAAAATTCTTTATTTCTAAACAAGTACACTACTCTTATCAGTAAAGGTATTTGAGTTCTCAAAGAGAAAGCTTATTCAGAAAAAAAGTTTTCTGATGCAAGGAAACAATTTGTTGCTTTGTTTAAAAGATAATTTAGAACTTTTCTAACTTTTCATCAGCAAAATGGATACAACATAATCAACTTTTGTACTGATGTAAAAATGCTAGTATATTGTTACATTTTTTTCAGCTCAGTATGACCTATAAGTTAATGGTGGGATCAAAAAGATCAAGACAGCAGTCATCACACTGCAATAAAATTCCTGTAACTTTGTATTTGTATGCAGTATTGAGAAAGTTTCCAAACAGAGCTTCAATTGTATGGCTGCAACTTCTGTCTTGATTCCTTATTGGTCCACTGTGACATGTATTATGCTTTCACCAGTTTTTCCCACAACAGCATCCCTGTGTGGTAAGTTGGCTGAGAAGAAAACTGGTCTCAAGTTAGTAATAATCCTAATTTATTTAGCAATAATATATAATGTTGAATTTTGTTTGTCTTCATTGTTATACTAAGCATGAATCATATAGAGAATTTAGATACTATTTTCAGATTTAACGTGTGAAAAAATAAGCATACTTAATAAATTGAAAAAAAACATTCCAGAGTTTATGTGGGGTATACAATAAACTACAGATTTACCCTTCATGTGGTGATTAGTTAATATTTATTTGTTCCAATAGGAATTTGAAATTATATTCATATCAGTCAGCAAAATGCTATTTGCAAAGCTTTCTTTTCAGATGATGTATTTTTCCCAGAGTTTTAAATGTATGTTTTTATTACATATTACATGTGAGGTAAATTGCAAATTTCTCCAGCAGAATGGATGTAGAAGCCACTGATGGGTAATTTCAGCCTTCCTGCTCAGTTAGAATAAGACAAAGCTTTAGCCACGCCTCCCTCTGGGTGTGACTTCCCAGTTTTTGTCTTAGTCTCAATCTCAATAGGACGCAAAATTGAAGGCTCCTCAGCTAGGCTAGATTTAAATTAGATTTAATTAGATTTATTTGGATTTCATTCTCTAAATTTCCTAAATTCCTTAACTAATTGGATTTAGATCATCTGAAAGCTTTGTGAACAAGGACTCTGTCCTTTGCACCTTGGAAGCCCTTCAGGGCTCGGAGGTTGGAGGCTGCTGGCCTCGATCGGGTGGGGGCTCCCATCCCGACGGATCGAAGCTGTCCGCGATTCTACTGACCAGCTGGTCAGCGGAGAACAACAATTCATTAGGAAGGCCGCTGGCATTTTTACTTTGCGAATGATGAAGCCACGAGGCTTCTTCTGCAGCCACAAACGGATCGCAGCGGACGCTATGCAACAAATTGCAAGTGACTCTAGCAAACGGGGGGAACAGGGTTTTGCCTGCTTATCCGTTCACTTGTTGGATTGTGGTTGTTGCCTTGCCTTTCCTACCCCTTCTGTCACTAAAGGTTGGCCTTAGCTCCTTGGGAGGTTCAGAAGGGACCGCGGCCGCCATTTTGACTGCATGGTCATAGCGTGGCCGCCATTTTGAGAGGCCCACGAGGTGGACGCCATTTTGTGGAGGCCTACTCTGATTCATTTCAACATCTAAGATTGTCTGAGTGCCTTGGTCTGCGAGTCAGGCCCGTACCGGGGGGGGGGGTAAAGTAATTTTCTTATATCCACAGCAAGTGTGGAAAACTCGTGGGTGCTATCCCAAATTATTGGGGCTTTGCCTATCTTCAAGTGTGTTATTGTGTTAAAATCAAGTCTTTAGGACCTAAGTAAGTGGAGTGAAGAGGTAATCTTTTTTGACCACCTGTTCAGATAGCCAGTGGCCTTTAGCCACAGGGCCTGAGTAGGCAGTATTAGAAAACTGTCTGGCTGTTCTTGCCATTGCCATTGTTCAGAGCGAGCACCGGTTTTCCATCTCTGACTAATTGATCTGCGTGCTTGGGTTCCCCCCACTTCTAGGAATCCCTGACCAGGATTATCTAGACTGCAATGGCAGACAGTTCCTCGCCCCAGGCAACTCAAACCAGTGTTCCTCCCCCGCGCAAACAAAGCGCAGATCAGACGAATTAGAAGTGGGGGGGGGGGAGAAAAAAGCAAAAACCAAACATTTCAGTCAAAGAGACTTCTAAAGCAGCCAAGCGAGAGGCCTCGAGGAGACATTTAGCACTGGAGAAAGAATTCTCCAAGGCATAAAGGCTCAGGTCCAGTGGGACTGAAATGGTTTTCCCCATCCCATTGGACATTCCCTCGTTTGAGCCTCAATTTGAATCTTCGCAGGATGCCCCACGGACATGGTCTCCTCAGGAGGAAACTGAACAGGTTGGTTCTCCTCGCTCCTCTTCTTCCTCTTCAGGAAGAGCAGGCATGCTTCAACGGAGGTTGGGATCAGCTCTAGGGAACAAGGAGAGATGTGGTCCCAAAGTCAATTCCAGGCATTCATGCATCACGCTTTGAAGCAATTTATGTCCTCCACTGGGAGTAGCCAAGGGCAATCACATCCTTCTCCTCCCCCATCTATTCCTCCTTCCCAGGTGGAACACGACATGAGGCCCGGTTCTGGTGTCTCAGAGATCTCCTCCCAATTAGGTGAGGAGGAATCAATAGAATTGGAAACAGCCGACACTCACTTGTCTGAGGATGAGGAACTAACACCTGAACAGGTGACTACTTCGGTCTCTTCGACGCTTCCATATTCAGGTCTCTTCTCTTAAAGGCCATCGCCACGGCCAAACTTACCTTGGTCCAGGAGGAGAAACCATCCACCTCCACTAGCCAAGAGGCCAACCCCCTGTTTGCAGAAAAGGTCAAAGAGGAGACACAAATACCCTGTCCGCTAGTTTTTTGGACTACGATGGAAAAGCAGTGGTCATCCTTAGCCACCATTCCTTCCCCAAGTAGTATGGAAAAGAAACTTTACAATGTCTCTTCTTCCTTTGCTTCTGTCTTAGAAGTTCTGGCTGTGGATGCTCCCCTAACATCTCTGTTCTCCACCACTGCCATCCCAGGGGACATGGCTGAGTTCCTGAAAGCGGAGGACAAAAAATTTGAGTTCTCCCTTCTCAGAGCTCACCAATCTTCGGCTTGGGCTATAAGGGTGGCTACCTCATACTCTTTCTTTGCACGATCATCAATAATGTGGCTTCAAGATCTTCAGGCGCTCATTCCGCCAGATTAGGTCAGGGCACACCAGACACTGGGCAAGATAGTGGCAGCATCTGAGTACATTGCTGACGCATCCCTTCATTCGGCCAGGTGTTCGGCAAGATCTATTGCTGCCACAGTGGCATCTCGTAGAATGTTCTGGTTGAAACAAGGGAGAACTGACTTAAAGTCAAAGTGGTGCCTGTCAACCTCCAAGTATAGTGGAACACATTTATTCGGTGCAGTCCTAGAACCACACGTCATTGAAGGCAAGGATAAGCGTAAGGTAATGGCTCATCCCTCCAAAAAATCAGACAGGCGGCCTCAACAGGAATACAGTAGGCCGCCATTCCGCCCCAGTGGAACCTGGGAGTGGAGGTAGCCCTTTCGAACAGGGCAGACATGGGATTGGCCCAGAGGCTTACGATCCTATCCTCCCAGGCAGGATCGGCCACAAGACCGCCAGAATAGTGGAGCCAAGGGTCAGTTCCAGACCAAA